GTGAAAACAGTGCCTGTCTCTTTAGGTAGGATTAAGGTCCTTAGTCCAATTTCAAATGCATAAGGACATAAGGAAGACTTAAGAGTGTTTAGAGTTATGTTCAAATCTATCCTTTTATGTAGAACCTTACCAAGGATGGCTCATTAGTATGATCTTGTTTCTTATTGAGATTTGCCCTTCCTGAGTTTTGAGATTCATATACTATCTTTTAGTACAACTACATGAGAAGATGTTATGCTATGTGATGGTTTCATTGTCTTTTGGCTCAAAACATTCTAATTTTTATTATGAAGAAATTGTAGAGATGAGCTGAACATGGTGAAGTTACATAGTATTTCCAGGTCATTTTACTCTTTGATAGAAATGCCTGCTTTATGAAAGTTGGAGGGGAAATTGACTGTCTCTGGATGAGATAGTAGCAAGCTACTAGAAGGCCATGCCAGGTTGGAAATATTCCTGTAGTCATTTTTGGAAAATATAATCTCCCACAATACTTTACCTGGTTGCCTGTTATCTTAGTCCATTTTGTGTATAACAGAGTACCAGACTGAGTAATTTATAAAGAAATTTATTCTCAGTTCTGGAGGCTGGAAAGTCTAATATCAAGTTATGAGCATCTGGTGAGAGTATTCCTGCCCTGAAATAATGTAGAGGGTATCACTTGGCTAGAGAGATGTAAGAAACCAGGAGGGTGGGAACAAGAGAGAGCTGATTGTTTTTACAAGAACAGATTTACTCCCTCAGCAGTGATATTAGTTCATTTATGGAGGTAGAACCCTTATGAACTAATCATTTCTTAAAGGCCTCACAGTTAATTCTGTTACAATAGTAATTAAATTTAACACAAGTGTTACAATTTAGATCTAAAATGGCTGCCAAAGTCTCAAGTATTTGGAAGGTGATTGGGTTACAGGGGAAGGGGGCTATACTCATCAGTGGGTTCATCTATTAATGTGTTTACTAGCTAAATGTGCTGTTAGGAGGTGCATCCTGGTTAGATGTGGGGTACTGGGGGTATGACCTGAAAGAGTGTAGTCTTCTCTCATGCTCCTCTCTTCTGTTTCTGCTTCCTGGGTGTTTTGGGTTGAGTATTTGTTCTTTTTCTTTTTTTTTTCATTAAGTTTATTGAGACATTTTAGATATAAAATACAGTTACTTTCATCATTGGGATCTTGTACCTTTACATGATGTATCTTGAGTCTTATTTTTTTCCCCTTCTCCTGCCCTCCCTTCACCCCCTCCACCCTTCTCTATTTGCAAAGATTTTGTTTCCATTTTTTTCCTTTTCTGATAATTTTTCTTTTCCCTTCTTTCCTTTTCCCTCCCCCTCCCATTTCCACTACTCCTTTAGACCTTTTCTTCCTATTATGCATTTTTAAAATTACAATATCAAAATTTAGAGGGCATTACCACAGATTTTACAGAATTTAAAAGGATATAGAAAGCATATTACAAAAACCCTTTTTGAAATAAATTTGAC